CCCTGCATCAGGCTCTTTGCTAACAGCTCAGAGCCTGGAGTCTGCTTCAGATTCTGTGTCTCCCTCTCTCTCTGCCCCTCCCCAACTTTCATCCTGTTTCCGTCTGTCTGTCTCTCTCTCAGAAATCAATAAACATTAAAAAAAAAGAAAGAAACTAAATAAAAGACATCTATTGAATCAGAGTTGTGGAAGAAAAATGACTCAATAAAATTAATGGTATCATAAACCCATCTTTCCTTTTGAAGCAACCTCTGACTTTGTCATCCTAGTTTCAGTGCATATAGGAGTGAATCTGACGAAAAAATTTTAATCGAGTTAAAATGGCTGTCAACAATGTCGCTATGTACTATGTAAAGACATGTGTACTTAGTCCTATTTTACTATTTGCTCACATGACAGACACACTTTCAAATATTAGCAGCCTCTATTATATATGACTTTGCCTAGTACTTTGGGAAAATGGAGCTTTTTCCCATCACTGGAATATTAACATTTGAAGCATTTCTGCTTCTCACTATAGCTATGAACTATGTGGGGCATTTAATTCATCAAAGAGAGATATCCCCAAGGTCTCTGTGATGAGTCTGTGAATAGCCATGCCAAAGTTACCTGCCACAATTATAGAGTGAGTGTCAGGACCCAAGCAATTTAGAAATCTCTTTCTTCTATCTTGGGAGGCTTTGCATTCATCTAGTCTCAAGAATAATAAATGGCAATAGTTCTTGTAAAGGGACTTTCTTTCAATTTTTATATCTATTTAGGATAGACTAGCTTAGTAATGATGAAGTATGTGTCACTATATACTCTATCTTTTTTCCTTTTTATTTCCTCCTGTCATTCTCTTCCTTAGGATGCTAATGAAAAACATGAAGCCCAAATAATGAGGTCAGAGTTGTTATAATCACCAGCCCATTCTGAAGAGTCCAAGCAGATTTGGGGTGTCCCACTGAGCTACATGATCCAGAAATTCCCCCTGGCTCGTATACTTTTATAAAGGTTGAATTTAAATACCACATTATAGGTACTTCTTCATGAGAATTGGATAAGAATTCAATTTTCCTTGCAAGGTAACTATGCACATTAAGATACACTTACATGTACACAGAAATATATGGCAGTGTTCTATGAAAGGTAGTTTCAACTTGTATTTTTTGCAATGAATAATCTTGTATATGTGTAATTTTGTACGTGTACAGATATATGATGAATTTTGATAAGTGACAGTTCTGGAAATACCATCTAATCATGAAATAGACAATTCCCTTGTGCCTATTTGTAGCCAATTCCCTACCCACACTTCCCAACCATGACAACCACTGATATGCTTTCTAATTCTATAGTTTTTCTTTTTTTAGAATTTCATATAAATGGAATTATACCATATGAAGTCTTTTGTGTCTAGGCATTACTCACTTAGTATAATACTTTTGACATTTATCCATATTATTGCATGCATCAACAGTTCATTCTTTTCATTGCTGGGTAGGATTCCATTTTATGAGTGTACCCAAAATTGTTTATGCACTAATTGATCGACAATTGGTCTGTTTTCAGATTGGAGCTATTAAATACGAAATAAAGTTGATATGAACATTAAAGTTTTGGTTGAACATGTTTTCTTTCTATGTGGGTAAATATTAGCACACTGGTCTGCTGGGTCTTATAGTTAGTAAATAATTAAGTTTGTAAGAACCCACCTACCTCTTGCAAAATGGCCCAAACATTTTATATTTCTACCAGCCAAACTTAACATTTTCAGTCTTAATTTTATACTTTGTAGAGGATGTGGAATAGTAGTTCATTACAGCTTAAATTTGCATTTCCCTAATGACTAAAAATGCTGAACATCTTTCCATGTGTTATTTGCTATTTCTTTATCTTTGATGAAATGTCTAATTCAGATCTTTCACCCATTTTTTTCATTGGGTTCGTTGTCTTATTATTTCTATGAGTTATTTATATACTTTTAAAACAAATTCTTTAATCAAATATTTGATTCACAATATATCCCCATTCCTGTGACCTGGGTTTTTGTTCTCTTAAGGATATCTTTTTGAAGAGCAAAAGTTTCAATTTTGATAAAGTCCAACTTATCAACTTATTTTTATGGTTAGAGATTTTTATGTCCTAGTAAGTCTTTGACTAACACAAAGTCATAAGGTTTTTTTCTCTTCTGTTTTTCTCTCTAAGTTTTATGCTTTTAGCTCTTACATTTAGGTCTATGAACATTTCAAGTTAATTTTCTGAGTGATGTCAAGTAAGGATAGAGGACTATTTAATGAATATGGAATTTTTCCAGCATCATTTGTTCAAATGACTATTCCTTTCCCACTGAACTAACTTGGCACATATGTCAAAAACAAATGATGATGTGTGTGCATCTATTTCTGGACTCTCTTTTCTATTGATCTCTATGTCTCTATATTGGTAAGACACTATCTTGATTATTTGTGGTATTATATTGAGTCTTAAATCAAGTATCATATTTCAACTCTGTTTTCCCTTTCAAGTTGTTTTTGCTATTCTAGATAATTTTTATTTCCATGTAAGGTTTACCTTCAGATTGTCAATTTCTAAAAATAAATTTTTTTCTGGATTTTTTTGTGAGAATTATATTGAGACTATAGGTAAACTTTAAGAACATTAATATCTTATTGATTTTGACAATTCTAATTGATGAACATAGTATATTTCCTGATTTATATAGTTCTTTTTTCATAAATGTTTAGTAGTTTTCAGGATATGTGTCCTGTACATATTTTCTTAAATATATCCCTAATTTTTGACATTTGTGTTGTCCTAAAATTATATTTTTTATTTCAAATCCAATTGTTGAATGTTAGTGCATAGAAATACAAAGAATTTTTATAAATTGACATTGTATCATGTGACCATTAGTTCATTTATTATAGTAACTTCACTTGTAGATTCTCTAGAATTTTCTATATAAATTATCATGTTGTCTGTGAATAAACAGAGTTCTACATCTTCCTTTCCTAATATGTATGCTTTTTATTCCTTCCTATTACTTTTTGCTCTGGCTAGGATTTCTAGGAGTGGTAGAAGGAGGCAATCTTACCTTATGTCCAATCTTAGGGGGAAAGCATTCTGTCTTTCACCAGTAAGTACAATATTCTAACTAAACTTTTTATAGATGAACTTTGTTAAGTTCCTTTTATTTCTAATTTGCTAACAATCTTTATCATGAATGGCATTATATTTTGTAAAAAAAAAAATTTTGGTATCCATAGAGATGATTTTTTTTAATTTAGAAAAAAAAAAGATTTAAAAAATTGATTTTTAAATGGCTAACCAAATTTTCCTTCCTGGGATAAAATCCACTGGCCTTGATTTATTATCCTTTGTATATGAAGCTGAAGTCAGGATATTAGGGCCAGAGACTTTAAAATATAGCAAATAAAATAAGAGTAAAGATTAAATATGATGCCTAGGGAACCTATTTGGTTGATAAAACTGTCAAGAAATGCAAGGAAGTGATTGATACAAACGTCTGTGTAGTAAAATAGAGTTATAAGTTAAGTGGGGGAGGAAGATGGAGCAACAGGGCACAAGAGAGAGACTTCTGTGATGCCTAAAATGTTATATTTCTTGACCTAGGTGGTGATTTCTAGAGTATCTGTCTTATATAAATTCACCAACAGGGCACTGGGGTAGCTCAGTCAGTTAAGCATCAGATTCTTGATTTTAGCTCAGGTCATGATTTCATGGTGATAAGATTGATCTCCTGGTCAGGCTCCATGCCCTTCCCATGCACACACGTACCCGCTCTCACTCTCAGGCTCTGTCTCTCTCTCTCTCTCTCTCTCTCAAAAAAAGTGTGTGTGTGTGTATATATACGTATATATACGTATATATATACATATATACATGTATATATACATACATATACATATATAATTGTGTATATATACACATGTATATATACATACATATGTGTGTGTATGTATGTGTATATATATACATATATGTGTGTGTGTGTATGAGTGTGTGTATATATGTTATTGATGGTTTTCCTTATCATATGTATTTTATAATAAAAAAAATTTTTGAGAAAACAATAAAGTATCTTTAAGCTTCCTATAGCTTCAAATTTTATATTTTCTACTGTCTGCTAAACTCTTCCAAAAGAAATTAAGGTTTCTGGACGAACTAACTATCTTACTGCCAAAAATCTGATGTTAAATTGATATCAGACTAAATATTTGATGAAGGAAATGAAGCTTTCTTTCTTTCTTTCTCATAAGACACAGAAGAATGAAAATCTTAGAATTTTCAAGAAAGGAACAGTATCAAGAATATGTTTTGTTCTAAATAACAGAGTGAATCTAAAAATGATCATTCTTTCTCTTCCCTCTTCCTTATTAAATTCTTAACTGTTCAATTAGTCCAAACTTTAGAAAACAACGGTATACTAATGGCCATAGGTAAGAAAGGTACTCAAGCAGGAAGGCCTGCTGGAAACAAACAGAAGTAGAAGTTCATTGTGGAAAAGAATCTGAAGCATTTTATAATCTAGAAAACAAGAATTCCCTCATGTTTCAACCCACAGATTAATAAGCAGCATTATCTTACAGAGGACCATATTTTTCTACCTCTTGAAATCAGTCAAGCAAAACCAAAATTAATAAAAATATATTAACAAAATAGTAACTTTTTGAATTTTCTGAAAATTGCATGGGGCTAAAAAAATGAACTAGATATTTCTAGTACTCTTGCATAATACTTTACAGATGATTTATGGAAACTCCATTTATTCTTGTAAGGCCACCGAGGAATCTTTTAGTAAATTATTATATTTAGTAAATTCAAAAAATGCCTGACTTTCAAAGAGAAGATTTTGCCTTAGAAGAACTTGAATCCATAAATGGAGTTACCATGGAGTTACTTATTTCCCTAGTTTCCTCAGAGAATAGGTTCAGACCAACCAAAAACCAGGTGATTGTTCTCTTGATGAGAGTGTAAGATAATCATTTACTTACCCTCCATGATGGTCAAAGGATCTTCCACTTTAGGGCGCAGGATATTAGGGCCAAAGACAGTGGCCAAGTTCTGCACACTCATTTTGTTAACTCCAGAATAGGACTGCACTTCATCCAAGAACCTGTTGGATATAAGAACATGAACAAAACAATGGGATCAAACTTGTTTGTCAGTGGAAGAAAATGGGTTATCGGGAAATTTATTAACTATAATATGTTCAAATACAATTATGGAGGCAAAATTATTTAGAAACTCAAACATCTCTCAGTCAAATGTGGAGAAAATATATTGCAAATGATTAAGGATCAAACTTGAGGGATCATATCAAATATCACCTTTGGCCTGGCTTGGCTTGGTTTCCTCCGTCAATCACAGAAACAGGTGTGTTTAGATAATGCTAATATGGACTTGAGATTCAGGAATATGGATTTTCTTCCAATCCTTAAATAAAACATTAAATTTATAAATGTATTCAATTCAAGAACTATAAATAAGATCATGTGGTATAATCCTTTATTTCAGAGAGGCAAATCAACCCTCTTTGTCAAGTAATTTGTGAGCTTCAAACTTATAGTCTATTAAAAAATGAGATCAAACATGGTTTAAATTAAAACCTTACTTCCACTGATATGAAACATTCTAAGCACAAATTGCTTCAATTTATTAGGTGTTAAAGAATAAGAGGCATGAAATAGACTTTTTCCCGAATGATTTTAGTAGGAGGGATCGTTTCTATAGTCTTTTGGCCTTTTTGCATTCCCCATGCTCCTCTTCATTTCTAGATTTCATGGCTTACTAATTGTACTTATGAGACAAAGAAGAAGTGATAAAAAAGAACTTATTATTATTTAAAATAATATATTTTATGTGTCAGTCATTGTGCTAACTTATTAAATTCTCAGAGAACTCTGTGAGGTAAATGATATGATTATCTCCATTTTACAGATGAGACACATGAGGCACCAGAAAGGTTAAGAATATTCTCCAAGGACACAGAAGTAACAGGTGGCAGACCTGAGATTTGAACCCAGATTGTCTGACTCTAGAGTCTGTGCTCTTGACAACTCCCCTGTGACTTTAAAGAAAGGTCCCTATTCCACCTATTCATTACTGTTATACAGTGTAACCTATAGTAAAACTGAAGGACAAAAACCTCAAACTACTATTTCTTATTTGAAATAGCTGAAATTAAAAGCCTGCTTAAATGTTTCAAGAGAAGTTAAGTTTTCCTGTTGAGGAGCTAAAGATTTGTAATATGGTTCTCAAGAAAGAGCCTTTATCCCTTTTACTTGAAGAGATTGTTCCTCTTTCTCATCCAACACAACAGCTTGAATTAGTCCAAAGTCTTGGGACGGAACCCCTATGTGTTAGTGAATCTATGTTATCAGTGAAACTCATTTCTTTCCTTTTTAAATTATGAAACCTAAGCTCATATTTGCTTCCTACCGTCACCAGAAAAAGTTATGGTAGAAGGTTTTGGAATTTCTTCTCAGTTACAGTTGACAGTGAACTCCTCAGTGTCCAGCATTAGTCTTAAACTACATAGTTCCCAGTCTGCTAAGCATTTATACAATCATGACACAAAAAGTACATGCAAATAATATAGTGTACTGAATTAAAAAATTGAATTACTTAAAAATAAACTGGGAAGCTTCCATTTAAGATACCTACAGTGATGTATAGTGCCAATCACCATCTCTCTTTTAAGATTTAAGATGCGTCAATTTTGTATCTTCATTTTTTTTAGGTTTAAGTTCCAGTATTGTTAACATACAGTGTAATTAGTTTCAGGTGTACAATTTAGTGATTCCATGCTTACATACCACACCTGGTGATCATCACAGCAAGTGCCCTCCCTAATCCCCATCACCTCTTTCACTCATTCCCCCCACCCACCTCCCCTCTGGTAACCATCAGTTTGTTCTCTATAGTTAAGAGTCTGTTTCTGGGTTTGCCTCTCTCTTTTTTTCCTCCTATGACTGTTTTGTTTCTTACATTCCACAGACGAATGAAATCATATGGTTTATTAAACAGGGGCAGACGGCACATACGGCACATACCAACCCAGGCCATAAGTTAAATGATCATGAGTGAGAGATTTACCAGGTACAATTATTGTCCTAACAGAATTGAATGATAATATCTTTTCAATGAGTCTTGAGGTAGGAGAGGAATAGAAAATAATATTTATGCAATTTAAAATACAATTTAAATTTAAAAACAACTATGTGAAATGTGTTTTCAGGACTCTTTTACCTAGGGGGATGCATAGAAAGGGTAAGAAAATTGTATAAAGACACATAAGAAGTCAGTGGTAGAAACTGGACTCCCACGCAGGCCTTCCTCATGCCAAGGGAGATGCTCCTTCTCTTAATTAAAGGTACATGCAGCAGGTACAAACAACTTTGATGGAAGTTCAAAGCAACATATCTTTAGTATGTAGAAGTAAGTCAGACTCAGAAACAATAAATTATAAAATCGAGCAATTTTCATGGTCAAAGAAACTTTTGAGATCATCTTGCCAAACTTCTTAATTTTACAGAGGCCAACACCAGAGCTCAGAGCAGTTCAGTGATTTTATTCACTGTCAGAAGTAAATTACTGTCAGGCTAAACATAGTCTTCTTCTGTTTAGTTTTATCTTTAGGACTATTCTTACCTGCAAATATACTTCAGGAGGTTGTAATTGACCACAGGCAAACTCTTCACCTGCTTTGCTAATTCCTTAATGCCCTGAGTACAAAGAAATAGAGAATAAATGTTATTGAAGTGTTAGCCTTGCAATGAAAACAAATACAAATGAGCACACAGGTTTTTTTTTTTTCATTAGTTTCACATATTATCAGTGAAGAATCCTGTCCTGAAAACTTGCCACGATTACAGAGAGCATTTCACAAATATTTTCAAAGATGGGAAAAAGTATTTCAAATATTTCCATAAGTACTATTTGTGGAGAAATAAATTTCAGTGAAGCCTTTTACCATTCTTAATACTCGCTCACAACTGATTGAAAAGGGAGGACTGCCTCATTTATAATAAGGCTATCTGGGAAAAAAGTAGCTTAATGTAGTGAGAGTCTTTCCCATTTCTGGCATGCCCCAAACATAGACATGTGTCTACTGACAAATAAGTCTCAAGATGGGCCACGTCTAGGATACACTGTTAGGGGTGGGATGGAGAATAAAAAGTCTACTCTTCCTGGAAATTTCACAAAGGTATTAATTGCTTTGGTTCTTCCCATTGTAAAACTTCTTCCAAAATGTAAATGGTCCCAGAGAAGCTAATGGATAATGTAATCTAATCTGTTCTTCTTCCTGAAAAAGGCCAGATGGTAAATATTGCAAGCTTTCTGGGACATATGGTCTCTGTCTCAACTACTCAACTCTCCTGTTGTGGAGCAAAAGCAGCCACAGACAATATTACATAATAGAGTAAAACTTCATTTATAAAAACAGGCAGCAATTTCTATAAGAGTGCCAAGAAAATCCAGTGGAGGAAAGAACAGTCTTTCCAACAAATGATTTGGAGACAACTGGATATCCATATGCCAAAGGATGAAGTTGGACCTTTCCTCATATCATAAACAAAAATTAACCGAATTTGGATCATAGACCTAAATGTAAGAGCTAAAGCTACAAAAGTCTTAGAAGAAAATATAGGAGTAAATCCTGGCGACCTTAGTTAATGCCTTCTTAGATATGACATTAAAAGCACAAGTGACAAAATAAAAATAGATAAATTGGACTTCATCGCAATTAAAAACTTTCATGCTTTAAAGGACATCATCAGAAAACTGAAGAGACAACTGATAGAATGGGAGAAATACTTGCAAATCATATATGTGATAGGAGACTTGTAATCTAAACTGTAAAGAACTCTCGCAACTCAGTAATAATAAAACAAATAATCCAATTAAAACGGGAAAATGATTTGAATAGGTGTTTTTCCAAAGAAAATATGTGAACAGCTACTAAATACATGGAGAGATGTTTAACATCATTAAGCATCAGGGAAATGCAACTCAAGCTCAATTAGATATCAGTTTACACACATTAAGATGGCTGTGATAAAAAAGAGACATAACAACAAGTGTTGGCAAAAATGTGGGGCAGTTGGAGTCTGCACATATTGCTGATGGGAATTTAAAATGATAAAGCCTCTTTAGCAAACATGGAGTTACATATGGTACAGCAATTCTGCTTCCTACGTACATACCCAGGAGAAATGCAGACATATGCCCATGCCAAGCTTTGTACATGAGTATTCACAGCACCATTTTTTTTTAAAGTTTATTTATTTTTGAGACACAGAGAGAGCATGAATGGGGGGGCGCAGAGAGAGAGGGAGACACAGAATCAGAAGCAGGCTCCAGGCTCTGAGCCGTCAGCCCAGAGCCCGACGCGGGGCTCGAACTTCGGACTGCAAGATCGTGACCTGAGCTGAAGTCGGATGCTTAACCGACTGAGCCACCCAGGCGCCCCCACAGCACTATTTTTAATAATAATGTCCATCAAACAATGGAAACAATGCACATACTACAACTGATGAATGGATAGATGAATAAATAAATAAAAGGCATGAAATACTGATAGGTGTTTTAGGGTGGATGAACCTTGAAAAACAGTGAAAGAAACTGGTCACAGAAGACAATACAGTGGATGATTCCATTTATATGAAATATCCAGAAGAGGCAAATCTATAGATACAGAAAGGAGATTAGTAGTTGCCAACAGCTGGGGAAGGTGGGGTCAGTTATGGAATTTGTTATAGGATGATGAAAATGTACTAAATATTCTAAAATTAGATTTTGATGGTGGTTGCACAGCTCTTGAGAATACAGTTCACCCTTGAACTGTGGGGGGTTAGGGATGCTGACCACCCCCACACTCAAAAATCAATGTATAACTTTTGACTCCCCCAAAACTTAACTACTAACAGCCTTTTGTTGGCTGGAAGCCTTGCTGATAAGCAGTTAATTAGCAAATATTTTGTATGTTATATGTATTATATGTTGTATTCTTATAAAAAGTAAGAAAATCACAAGGAAGAGAAAATACATTTAGAGTGCTGTACTGCAAAAAAAAAATCTATGTGTAAGAGGACCCACACAGTTCAAACCCCTATGGCTCGAGGGTCAACTGTATACTAAAATGCGCTGGATGTACACTTTAAATAGGTGATTGTATGATGTGTGAATTATATCTCAAAGCTGTTTAAAAAATGGTAGATAAGATTTGGTAGAAGGCATTGTTGAGAGTAATTTAGGGGGTACATAATGAAAAGGGGAATATGAAATAAGACATCCACTTTACTCATGGAATGTTAGACCTGATGTAGCCCCACAATTAACCAGTTAGAGGAGCAAAGTGGGAAGGAGGGTTCACTTCATTTATTCAGCAGCACTTTTCTTGCTGATAAGGGAGGGGATTAAAAATGGGACCTGTGTTGTGTATGTAATATCTAAATGAGTGTAATGTCAATAAATAGAATGCTGGAAAACAATCCAAGGATGGGGCCAGGGGAAATTTACAAATGAAAAACTAAGAACATTGACAAAAAACCCAAATTAAGGTTTTTTTAGAAATAAATGTACCAACTTACAGCTTCCTCTTCCTTGCTGAGCAGTTTGGCACAGGACAAAAAATCTTCATACTTTGCATAAGGAATAACTGGTTCTGGAAGTTCTCGGAGATACAGTTTAAGAAGTGATGCCACTGTGTGTACATCTGTGTTGCTGTGGAGATAGAAGTGGGAAGATACTCTTTGCAGTAAAATTTATACCATCCGATATATTCTTTCATCAAATACACATCTATAAGTCAGAATTCTGAGTTGCCAATGAAATCCATAAATTCAGCTTTCAAGAAGCATACACTTAGCTAATGCCCATGAAATGCTACAACAGGGGGAGGCGACAGGGATCTGGAAGGACTCTTAGAAGCTTCAGTGTGCTTTGAAAATATTCAAAAGTTCAAGCATTTTTCGTTTGTGTGTACTTGATGTTACTACACTTGATCTTAGCCAAAGGCTGAGAAGCGATGTGTGTACTTGATGTTAAGCCAAAGTGTTAACTTTAGGGGCTCCTGGGTGGCTCAGTCAGTTAAGTGTCCAACTCTCAATTTTGGCTCAGCTCGTGATCTCATGGTCATGATCAAGCCCCACATGGGGCTGCACACTGACAACACGGAGCCTTCCTCTCTCTTTGCCCCTCCTCCCTCTCAAAGAAAAATAAATAAAAATTTTAAAAAGTGTTAAAAACAATGCCAATATACCAGACTCTAAATGAAATATAATACAATTTACAAGACATACCAAATCCACCACTATATGCATGTATGTATTCAGTGTCACAATTAATCACTTCTGAGGCTTAGGTTCATTTCTTATTCTTTAGAAGACATTGGTGACTGGTTATAGATATCAGAAACTTAGTATGACATGTTATAACTTTTTAAGCAGAACTTATTTTGAAGGTGATTGATTTTCAGCATGATTTCTTGTCTAATATTCTAAGATAGTTGGAAATCCTTAGAGTCTTCTAGAAAGAGAAGGAATGTACTACAAAAACAAACAATGAAAACACAACCTGTCCTTTGTATAATGTGCAAAATTTATTTTTATTCCCTGCTGACTACCAGAATGACAGGATAATTTCCTAAAATACTATTTACATTTTATGCTATCTCCACGTTAATCCATGAAGACAGACAGTAAAGATGAAATGGGTGGTTTTTATTTACATTTATTTATTTATTTATTTATTTATTTATTTATTTATTTAAATGTGTATTTATTTATTTTGGGGGAGGAGAGAGAGAGTAAGTAGGAGAGGGACAAGGAAAGAGAGAGAGAAAGAGAGAATCTCAAGCAGGCTCTACACTCAGTCCAGAGACTGACACAGGGTTCCATCTCTCCATCTCAGGAACCATGAGATCATGACCTGAGTTGAATCAAGAGTCGGACACCTGGGGCGCCTGGGTGGCGCAGTCGGTTGGGCGTCTGACTTCAGCCAGGTCACGATCTCGCGGTCCGTGAGTTCGAGCCCTGCGTCAGGCTCTGGGCTGATGGCTCAGAGCCTGGAGCCTGTTTCCGATTCTGTGTCTCCCTCTCTCTGCCCCTCCCCCGTTCATGCTCTGTCTCTCTCTGTCCCAAAAATAAATAAACGTTGAAAAAAAAATTAAAAAAAAAAAAAGAGTCGGACACTTAACCAACTGAGCCACCCAGACACCCCATTTTATTATTTTTATTTTGGGTGAGGAGGACAGGTGTAGCAAAGAGAAATTGGTGGGCAGGGAGTGAAAGACCATCTGGCCCTGAGAAGTGGAAGAGAGGTAGTGAAGAAGGTCAGGAATCCTGTAAATATTGAGAATGAACGTCTCACACCTCACTCCCAGACTGTGCGGCAGGAAGTGACCTATCCCCAGAGGGGTATTTCTTGAGGGCTGGAACACAGTTCAATTTCCTGCCTCAGTGAATATTCTCTTGCCCATAGGTGACACAGAAGCAGAGTTGACATCACAGAACTACATGGGCTGGGACAATGGTCATCTTAGTTCTCAATTTTGAAATCAAATAGTTGATTTCATCAATGATTTCCCACACGCCTGCTCTGTATTGAACATTATAGAAAACACAGTGGCTAGAGCCTCAAAGAGTTAAAAAAAAAAAGATTATTCCAGCCTGCTCACAATTTATAATCTAGTGAGGACAGGGAATATGAACTAGATAATAACACAAGTGTATAATTGCAAAGTGTGGTAAGTAGTAATAAGGAGAAGTGTTGGGTGATATCTAATAGCAAGACGGGACTAATAACAAGACAGGGTTGGATGGCTTCTCTGAGGAAATGATGCATAGACCAAGGGGTAATAATTAACCAAGTGGGAGCAGAAGCACCAAAGAAGGCATTCCTGATTAAAGCAAGGCAGGTAAGCAGAGCCCAAAGTGGGAGGGAACATCCTGCCCTTGAGGAGCGAACAAAAAAGCTAAGGGAGAGCCAAGCTCAGGGTGGGCCTGCATGAGGTTTGCGTGTACACAGCATCCTTGGAATCTGGGTCTCTACCTTCTCCCAAATCAGATGGGGCAAAGGCTGAGCTTTTTCATTTCAGTGTTGAGGTCAGTCAGAGTGGGCATTTTGTTAACCTTCTTGCAGATGTTAAAATAATGGAGGTGATCTGATAGGGCCTGTCTTAAATTAATTCTGTTCTTTCACAATTAAACATGTTTTCCCTCTTAAAATTTTGAATTGATAAGCAATATAGAAGTCAACTCAAAGGCTAGTTAAGGAAATAAAAATCACATCTCTGGGACATCTTGAAAACTGTTTCTAAGCTCCTTAATTCCTCAAATTACTTTCTACAGAATTTTTTAAAAAGAGATAGTCCTAACAAAGTACCAATGGTAAGACAAGGAAGACACTATTTCTTCTGTTTTATGGAAAAAACACTCTATTTCATGCGTATCAAAGCTCTTCTGTGTTTCTCTTGTTATCTAGTGAAGCACAGCCATCAGCAGTAAGAGAACCACAACTCGGGGCAGAATATGCAGTGCAATCAACTATTACAATAAATGATTCCATGTTTTGATTCCACTCTAACCCAACCCATGACTAGGTTGGATATGTTGCCTTCAAAGACAATGACCATTTTGTTAGGGTTATAGGAAGGTACAGAGAAACACAGAAAAATAAAATACAAAATAAGTATAACTTCAATACATGAAGTAGGTTATCCATCATTTGCATGACTATATACATAGAATATATACAAATCTTTGTGAAATAAATGCAACAAATAAGACAAATAATAATAAGTAAGAAATATATATTTAGTAAAAAATCTGTTCTAGTGTTTCAGTGATTGACTTTGTGCTGCAATGACTCTCCCCAGTACACTGTTCTTGAGGGAACTTGCTTGATACTTGTATTATTTAGTTTCTAATGAAGTAGAGCTGTAGTACTGAGGACGTGTGAACGTTAGATGGCACCATTGCAAAGTTAGAGTTATCAGATGGCGCGAAAATTATGAAGGATGAAAGGCTGCAGAATCATTCTTCATCCACCAGCAATTTTCTTAGCACAAGAGCTGCAGTAATGCTCCAAGAATAGAAATATTTGAGCTATGAATCAAGGTAAGAGATGCGGATAGGATGATGATTTTATTCCTTCCCTAAAGTGATACATTACATTAGCTTTCTAGCATTATGGTATACACCTACATATTGTTAATTATATAGAAGCGATGGAGAAAATATAGAAACAATGGAGAAAAAAAATGACCAAATGCTTTTCCTCTTTTTTTTTTCCAATTAACGAAGGGTTAAGGGTTTTGCTTCAGGATCAAAACTTAAAAATATATTACCTCCTTTTTGGGGCTTTATTATACTTAGGTTATTTTGTGGAAATGGAGACATCTACATTTCCCTGGTGTTCTCATTTTTAGCTTTGTCCTTTCCTACTGAATGAAAGAAAACAATTGCTTCTGTGAAGACTTCAGCATGTGTTGTAGTTCACCTCAAGGGGCTCGCGGTCCGTCCGCCCTTCTGGCCAGAACACCACCAACTGCAACATCAAGTCTGGTGTTTGAAAAACCTTTTTGTATATCTACTGTACGAAATGGTGGCCGTCCGCATCTCTCCGCCCAGCCTGTCTCTTACTGAAAACCCATAATTTTGCCTGTTTAATATTTGCTTCCTATGGACAGTCAAATAAGTATATACTAACATTATGTGCTAATTGCCCAATGTACCAGGGGAACGTGCCATCTTTGTCTCAAAGAAATACATTTCAGACTTCATCAAAGTGAAGTGAAGTGACTGTACTGTGGCAAAAGTCAATGTACAAGGGAGAATTAAGATACCTAACCTGGTTAACAACAACAACAACAACAACAACCACAACAACAGCAGCACCTCTAGACATGTATCGCTCTATGTCAGGCCTTCACAGCAGTCCAGTGAGCAGGTCCTGCTACTAACCCTATTTTGGGTACTTGGACAGGAAACCACACTGGTATGAAATTCTTTCTGGCTAAGCACTAAGATATGAGAGGTTTTAAAGTCATGCTCTTTTGGTAGAAATTCAAGACTATTTGTTAATGTGAAATCATTATACAGATCTCAGGTCTCTTTCCCTAACCTGGTGGTAGGATCTGTTTTCAGAAATTAAGATAAGGAATCATGTACATTCTATCCAGTGATCCTGAATAAAGAAGCTAGAATAGCAGGAGATGCCCTGGAGCATGTCCCTTAATTGATCGATATATGATCAATTTTTGTTTCATTTTATATTACACTTGGACCTTACTTTTGAGTCCTACTTCCTCACTTACAGTCTGTTTACCAAATTAAAGGGAGGATTTCATGAGACTTTCAAGGATCAACCTAATTTTACAGTCTCATGAGTGTGCCATTGGTCATTCTGGAATCTTTCTATCAGTAATGGTTCCTGAAACTAATGGTGGGCACGGCTTCGTGAAACATGCTGGGTGAAACAAATGAACAACATAGATCTTTTTGTCCCCCATGGGCTTATATTTCTAACTAATCACCATCAATACTTTTCCATATCACAACATGCCTCATTTTGTTCTACTTTGTAATACCTCCTGTATATTCTAGCTGCTAAGTCCCTGTCAGGTGTGAGATCTTAAGAATATTCTTTACAGTTCCTGGAAATTGTCTGCCCTATTTATAATCTATGTACGATACAGGCTTCTCACTAATCTTAACAGGGAC